GCCCAGGTCTCACCAGTCTGTGTGCTCTGCCTCCAGGTTGCTCCCCTGAAAGTCCCCCGTGGCTCCTGCCCCCACCGGAGCACATGGGAAGAGGACGGGGTGCTGTGGCCATTTCCCTGGAAGCCCTCACATGTCCCCAGACTCAGGAAAACCTAAGGAGCGGGGCTGCAGGACAGCGCAGGAAAGGGCAGCTGGGGTTTTGAGGAGGGGGAGGTCACGTGTGCTCGGAGGGTGGTGTGCAAGCACCAGGGCAAGGCTTCTTGGAGGGGGCAGTGGAAATTGGGGCTCCTGGGTAGAGAAAGCAGAACCGGGGGGCGGCATGGTGCAGGGAGTTTGGAGAGCCCTGGACACATCTTGCCTCTGGGGTAGATGCTGTCCTGGGAAGGTGTTGGGGTGCTGGGAGCCAGGCAGGGCTGCAGGGCAGGTGCCGCTGGGGAGGGGGAGACAGGAGGGGGCGTGGCAGCAGAGGACAGGACCGTGACCCTAGCCCTGCTCTCCATCTCGGACTCAGGGAACCCCTGCTCCTGGAACCCTCAGGGCTTCCCCTTCCTCCTTCTCCAAGGGCCCATTGTCCCCAGGACCTTCTGGGCAGCTGGATGGTGATGCAGACCTGTCCCCCACGTGATGTGGGGGTGGCGTGAGAACCGTCCGCGGGTTCTGGCACGCATGGGTGCTGTTAGCACTGTAGGTGCTTTGGGTTAACCCCACCCAACACCTGAGCACCTATGGGTCACCATTCCTGGGACTCAGAGATGGATGAGGCTCCCGCCCCTGCCCCTAACAAGGCTGCGTGGACCCGGGTCACCTGACCCCTGCTCTGAGTGAAACCATCAGGACAGTCTGTGGGTGTCTTTCCCCAGGGAGCTCTTTCTGGCCTTTCTGATGGTGACAGTGACCACGGTCATGATGACGAGAGCTGTGGCAATGACAGCAGGTGTTCACACAGCCCTTCCTCTCTGCGGCCCTTCATGTTTGCAGAACTCCTCAGTCTGGTTATCAATGTTATTCCCATCAGGCAGAGGGGTATACTGAGGCTCAGAGAAGATGTTTTCCCTGAAGTCACATGACACGAAAATAGGGCAGGAGTATAAATCCAGGTCTGTCTGATTTCAGAGCCTGAAGTTTTGCCCCCACCCTTTTAAAATTAATTTGTTTATTTTAATTAAGTACATATGACAGCAGAATGCATTTTGATTCATCCACACAATTGCAGCACAACTTTACATCTCTATGGTTGTACCCGATGTAGCGTCACACCATATGTGCACATATTCCTAGGGTAATGATGTCCATCTCATCCCACCATCTTTCCTGCCCCTGTGCACCTCCCTACGCTCCCTCCCCTTTGCCTAATCAAAGATCCTCCCTTTTTCCCATGCCTCCCCCTTCCCCATTATGGATCAGCATCCACTTACCAGAACATTTGGCCTTTGGTTTGGGGGGACTGGCTTACCTAGCTTAGCAAGATATTCTCCAACTCCATCCATTCACCTGCAAATGCCATATATAATTTTATTCTCTTTTAATGCTGAGTAATATTCCATTGTGTATATGTACCACAGTTTCTTTATCCATTCATCTACTGAAGGGACACTTTTTAAAAATTTTTTAAATTTTTTAGTTGTACACAGTACCTTTATTTTGTTTATTTATTTTTATGTGGTGCTGAGGATTGAACCCAGGGCCTCGCACGTGCTAGGTGAGCGCTCTACTGTGAGCCTCAACCCCAGCCCCTGAAGGGCTGCTTTTTTGAAGGACTCATCCCAGAACTTGCAGAAAGCCTGGAGTCCCTGCTCTACACCCGCACCCCTGCTCTGTTCTGGACCAAAGGTCCCCAGCCATGATCTGGCCCTAGTGTCCCCCAGAGGGGCTGAGTCACCCGTTCTGCACAGCTCAGCAGTCAGGATGTGCAGTCAGGGCTTGTCCTGGAGGGGCTGTCAGGATGGACACGTGCCTGCACCCGAGACCAGTGGGGCTGTCCTTCAGCCCAGAGCCCATTGCCCAGGGCACCTGGTGGTGTTAGGGGACATGGCATTCCCGTTCCTCCTGAGTCAGATGGTCAGCTCTGGGCCACTCATGGAGCCAAAGTCTTTGACAAATGTCTGTGACACAAAAACATGACCACCTTGGGGTCAGCTGTCTTCCAGAGGAGCCTGTTTGGGTCTTGTTAGACAAGAGAGCAGGAGACCCCGTCCTCAGTCCCCCAGAATGAGACCCCCAAGTGATGGAGACAAACCTGCTGATACGACCTTCAAACCCCAGTCCACAGTGATCTGCTCAGGTGAGGACATGCTCAGTTTCCCTGGAAGTCCTCCCGGGAGCTGCCTGGAGACACTGCTGCTTTGGGGTGAAGCCCTGGGCCAAGCGTGGCCTCCAGACACTGCTGCTGAGACTCTGATGTGCCTCCTTCCTGCTCAGCCATCAGGGTCCCCTTCTCATGGCTCCTTCAAGGCCCGGTCCAAACGCCCCTTCCCTGGCAGGTTCTGCTCCACAGAGCCCCCCATCTCCCATGAGACTCAACTGTGTACCCCACACCCTCCCTCCTCCCCCGTCTCCAACTAGAAAGCCCACCTGCTCCTCTCCCACTCCTGCTCTGAACCCTGGACTCCAGCCCTCCTTCTGGAACCTTCCATCTCTGCACCCACTCTGCCTGCTCTTCCCTGGCCCTGTGGGGCTTTAGTCCCCCATGTCATAGACGGGCAAACTGAAGCCCAGACTGGAGCTGGCAGGGCAGGTGCCAGTGCTTTTGAGATTGCCTGGTGTCTTTTTTCTTTGCACATAGCATTGTGTTGTCTTTTGACTCTTTTTTATTCTACCAGATCACCGTCCCCGCCTTTTCCCTGTAGCAATGACTCAAAGTGTCACTGGGCGGACACCGCCACCTGCGCCTTCTGTAAGTGGGGTCTGGCAGCTTGGGGGGTGTCGGTGATGCCGTGAGACTTGCCTGCCCATACAAGGGGCTCCGAGCGTGACCTCGGCTCTGGAGGGGACCCCAATTGGCTTCCCGCTCCTTCATTCCTTCGCTGGCTTGATACGGGACACAGGCAGAAACTGGGCCTGTGTCTCACGGTTCTTCCCTGAAGGGACAGAGCCAGCTCTGGTCAGGGGATGGACAGAAGGAATCCCGAGGCCCTGACAGAGGTGATGTGACAGGGCCAGGGAGAAGAGGAGTAGCAGGGAGGCTTCCAGGGCTGAGTCCCACGACCAACAGGACTGGACAGGACGTAGGCAAACGGGGTGGCGGGGCTGGCCAGGGAGGGACTCTAGGCAGGGTAGCCAGGTGGAGGTGTGAGGCCAGCTGTGGCTTGGTTGGTGGGGACTGAGATATGACAGGGAACCCCAGATTCACCCCAGGCAGAGAGCACAGCCACGGAGCAGAGGCATGTGGCCTGAGACCCTGGGGACCACGGGGAGGCTGTCCTACGCCTAGCCACCCTCCTGCCCAAAACGGGTGTGAGGCTGGACGAGCTGGGTGGCTGCGGAGCCTCCCAGGTGGGGACTCGTCTGTGCCTCCCTCTGCCCACCCCCCGCCTTCCTTCTGCACTGGGACATCTCCACCTAGAGCACCTGCCACCCCAGCTGTCCACCTTCCTGAAACCTGCGCCTCCTTCCCACCCACCCCTGCCCTCCTGGGCCTCCTCTTCCCTCCTTCCTTCCCCCACCTCTCCCAGGTCAGCCCCCCTCACCCTGACCTTGGAAAACCTCACCCGAGCCCCTTGGTCCCCAGAGAGGCCTGGGCAGGGCAGGGAGAGCTGGGGTCCATGCCACAGCATGCAACACATCCCGCCTTCCCTCCCTTGGTCAGGGGCAGCCTCCCTCCCTGCCCTGCCACTATGACACTATGACCTTGCACAGCTGGTCCCAGGTCCTGAGCTGTGGCATCATCTCTGGCAGGGTGGCCCCAGGTGTAGTCTGACACGAGTCTAGGCACCTGAGCCAAGGCAGGCTGGGGGTGGGGACAGCACAGCCATGAGCCAGGGGCCCGAGGTCTTTGCCTCCTGGCGATTTTCTGGCCTGCCCAGGGGTGGCCTTGGGGTCTCTTTGTGTTAGGCAGGAATTCCCCTCATCTGGAGACTCTGGACCCAAAGTCCACAGTCACGGGCAGCTGAGGTTCAGGAGACAGGAAGCAGTTCACTGTGTTCACGTGCCCAAGTAACAGGTGGAGCTGGGGGGGAGCAGGACCCCCAAAATGTGACAAAGCCATGTAGAAACAGCTCCTCTTGCACTTCTGTCCCTGCAGCAAGCCAAGCCCTCTCTCTGCCCCAGGGCCTTTGCTTGTGCAGTTCCCTCTGCCTGGAAAGCCCTTTCCTCCGATTTCTAGAGCTTCTTCAGGCCTCAGATCTCAGCTCACATGCCATGGTCAAGGGCCTCCCGAGCTTCTGTCCGTGTTGTCCTCCTCGTTCTCTCTCCCACTGTCCTCTTTTTACACAAGATGTTGTTGTGCTTCGAAGTTACTGTATTTATCTACTTCGGGCTGATGGTGGGCTGCCCCCCTGCACTGCAGGCACAGCTCAGCCTCAGCCCCCCATGGTGGGGTGCAAACACCTCACTCAAAACTGACAAATAAAGATCGGGTTAGTTATGGTCCATGGCAAGATGCTTTGAATGCGTGTGCATCTGGAAGGGGTAAATCAAGTACCTGACGCATGCTCTACCTCTCAGACCTCTGTGTGTAGTGAGGACTCTTAAAATCCACTTTCTGAGCAATGTTCAGGTGCACAACGCATGAACTACGGTCACCGTGTCGTGTGAGAGATCTCTTGACCTTATTCCTCCTGCGGAGCTGATGTTTGTCCAGCTGCCCTGCCCACTGCCCCTGGGGGCCACGTGCTCTGCTCTGCTCTATGAGTTCCTTTTTTGTTAGCTTCCAGTGTAAATGGCACACTGCAGCATTTGGCTCTCTGTGCCTGGCTTAATTCACCCAGCATAGTGCCTGCCTGGGTCATCGTGTGGTCTGGAGTGACGGGATCTTTTTCTTTTCTCAACCCTGCCTAGTGTGTATAGGAACCACGTTTCACTTTCCCGTTGACGGACACCGGGGTCGACCCACACCTCGGCTGCTGTGAACAAGGTCTTCCGTGAACGTGGACGGCAGGAGTCTCTTTGGCGGGTGGATTTCATCTCCTCTGTGTGCAAGTCGAGAAGCGGGATTGCTGGTCACACGGTAGTTCTATTTTTAGTTTTTTAAGCAGTAATTGTCTTGGGTCAGATGCCAGGTACCCTGAGATCCCAGGGCAGAGACTCCATCCTGTCCTGCCTGCTCCCCTTCATTGGAGTGGGGGCCTTGGGGTATTTCTTTTTATCTTTCTCCTCCTCCTCTTCTTTTTTTCCCCTCATTCTCTTCTTCTCCTTCTTTTCTTGTAGTGCTGGGAATTGAACCCAGGAGTGCTCTGCCACTGAGCTACCCACCCAGCCCTTTTGTGCGTGCGTGCGTGCGTGCGTGCGTGTGTGTGCGTGTGTGCGGTGCTGGGGATTGAACCCAGGGCCTGTGCATGTGAGGGAAGCACTCTACCACTCCCAGCCCACCCAGCCCTTTTTATTTATTTACTGTGGTTACAGGGCCTCGTTAGGTTGCCCGGGCTGGCCTTGAACTTGTGCTCCTCCTGCCTCAGCCTCTCCAGTGGCTGGGGTGACGGGCGTGCACCCCTGCACCCTGCTCCCAGGGGTATTTCTACCAATAGCCTCACAATTAGCATCCTCTTTAGCCTTTCAGGGGTGAGCACCTGAGGGACACTGAGGCCGCCCTCCACCCTCCTCCCCCAGCCCATCCCGAGACCTGTGCCTGTCCCTGCCCGCGCACCGTGGGCTGGCCAGCCTGCCTGTCGAAAGAGGCCGAGGCCGAGGCAGGCGGCCTGGACAGCAGCTCCGTGGGGCTCCGGGGCTCCTCGGGTTTTCCAGCCCTTCCCAGTTCCCGCGCCTGATACGGAAGAGACGCCCAAGATCCAGCTGAGGACACGGTCTTGCCCCTCCCCGAAATGGGCCAAGATGCCGGGGCGGAACCTCAGGCTGCCTGGAGAGCGGTACAGAAGCCCCCGCTGGAGCCGGTCTCGTTCTCCAGATCGGAAGCCGAGGCCCGCGGGGGTCACGAGCAGCTCTGTGAGGGGGCAGAGCTGCTGACGCCCCAGGTCTTTCCACAGACCCTTTCCCTTCTGGGTGGCCTTGCCACCCTGGCCAACGTGTGCTTCGCCCCAGCAGAGACTCTCCGTGTGAGGTCTGTCTTCACCAGGGTCACGGAGGACTCTCAGGCCAAGGTCCTACCCCTGACAGCCCCTTGACCATGACCTTGTCCTCCACCCTGGGGAGGGTTAGGGCCCCTGAAGTTTTCAGGTGGGCAGAGGCCTGGGAAGTCCCCCACGGTCCTGCCTGGCGGAAATGGCTCTGCCTGCTGAGGGTGGCACTGCCCGTCCTGGGCTGCACGGAGACTCGGCTCCCAGCCTGCGGAATTTGGGGGAACCGAGGCTGTTCCCACTGCAGGGAGTGGCGCCTGGGCAGGGCCAGGTGAGCTGGTGCTGAGCTCAGCTCAGGCTGACTCAGGCCGCGCCTCTCCCAGGGCCCGGTGCAGGGGCCCCGCTGCAGGAGCATGGCTTCCCTGGGGCTGCCACGAGGCCGCACTGGTGGCTCGGTCCCTGTACACGTGCGGGTTAAGGACGGCGCCTGCCCAGCTGGCTGCCCCGCCTGTGTTCTGGGCTGGGGGAGCCGCCCTGAGCCCCAGGCGGCGCCTGCCACCAGCGCCTGCTGACTGGGGTTCTGTCCTTCGTGGGGGCTGGTTTCTCCTGCAAGACTCGAATTGGGGGAGGACACCAGTTTGAGGGGGGGATGCCTGTCCTGGGTGTAGATGAGATTCACTAGGGACAATGAGGCAAATGACCCCATAGAACACACAGGTTCGGCCTGCAGTGACTGGTCCCAATGGAAGGGAGAGGGCACTGGGTTTCCAGGAAGAGAGGGTGTGGGTGCCCAACTCCCCTGTGATGTCTGCCCCAGACTGTGAGCTCCTGAGGGCAGGGATGGAAATACCCAGTCCCACCATGTGGGGTCCAGAGCGCACACCCAGGGTCTTCGGGAGGGGGTGGGGCTGTGGCGAGCCCCTCTGAGCTAAGCCATCCCCGAAGACAGAAGCAGAGTAGTGGGGTGCAGGGGGCACTCAGGGGCTCGGGCCTGGACAGCCAGGCCTAAATCGGGTTCCCACCTCCGACGCCTGGCTGTCCCATATGGACTTGGCTCAGGTCTCTGAATCAAGTCTCTGGCCGGCCACCGCCTGAGACTCCAGATCACTGACTATAAAACAGGCTTCCCCATCTCACCACTGTGAAGCCTCAGCAGGGTTACCAAGGGCTTTGTGAACTGAAAAGTGCTCCTTAAAAGGAAGATTTTTTTATTATCTGCCGCAGGTGGGAAGTCACCCCCAATCCTTCACCCCCAACTTCACCCTGCGGAGGCCTGAGGGCCCTGCTAAGCTGCAAGCCGGTGGGAGCAGAGGGCCGGGTCTGCAGCCCCTTCCCCCTGGGGAACAAGCCTGTGGCTGAAGCTCTCTGCATTCCTTGGATGCCACAGTTGGGAGAAATCAGGAGCAGCCCAGACAGCCTCTCTCTGGATTTTTGTGGGAAACACAGTGACGAAGAGCCTGGGGTCTGGGTCACATGGGCCTGGAGTGCATCCTGGCTTGAGCCCCTGCTAGCTCTGTTGAGGAGCGTGGGTGTCCGCAGCAAAAGTGGCCCAGAGAAGGGTCAGAGCCCCAGCAATGGAAGGGGGTGACCTGCGGAGGGGAGGCCTGGCGGGGAGAGCCCAAGTGGGGAAGGGATGTCAGGGGGTGTCCCTGTGGGTGGGGGGCTTCGATCAACTTGGTAAACACGTTGAGGATAAAGGGGGACCAGAATTCATATCAGGGACACAGAAGTTACACGTATGGGAGGGGAGAAAACGAAAGCAAATGATGGATGCGGTGGCCTGTCATCCCAGTGGCCAGGGAGGCTGAGACAGGAGGATCGCGAGTTCAAGGCCAGCCTTAGCAACTCAGTAGTTTACATGCCCCTAGGTTCAATCCCTGGTACCAAAAAAAGAAAAGAAAATGAATGATGTGGATTGGAATTTGAGGTACCAGGATGAGTGAGTTCATGGTCTGCGACATAAGAGAGAGCGATAGATAGATACAGATGGAAATGTGCGTACGGAGTGGTATTTGCCTAGAACCCAGCACATCCTCCCATGTGTTTTAAGTATCTCTAGATGACTTCCAGCAGCTAATACAACACAAATGTGACGTAAGTCGTTATTACACTGTGTTGCGCAGAGAAGAGTGACCAGAAAAAGAGTCCACGCATGCTCAGTACGGGTGTGGGGTTTCTCCCCCAAACATTTTCCATCTGAGGCGGTTGACCCTGAGGACGTGGAACCTGCGGAGACAGAGGGCCCACGTGAGCATGTCCTTCCCGTCCTGAGCCTGCCCCTGTCTCTTGAGAGGCTCTGGCAGCAGCCCCACCCCCAGCCGTTGGCTTCGAGGTCCCATCCTCCAGGGACCAGCAGGGATCAGGGAAGAGATGAGTGAGCCCGCAAGACCTCTCAGTGCCAGCAAGTCAGGAAACGGTAAAAGAATGATGCTGATATGTCAAAATGCCATGGGGCCGCCTGAAGGGGCAACCGCTGACCAAATCTGAGGACAATTTGTGCATTCTTATAACAGGGACCGTGGTGGATTGAAACCCGTCGGATAAGAGACCACAAGTCCCCGCTCCAGAGGTAAGTGGGTGAATAAATTGAGATTTTGATGAGGCCTGGGACATTCACACAGGCTCTAAGTATCTCTTCACAAAATATTTAATTACAGAGGGAGAAAGAATAACTTCTCAGTGGAGAAACCTGATAGCCACCGTCCTAACGAATGACCACATTTAAAAATTTAACATCACCACTGATGTCACAAATGCAGAACACCCAGTAGCGCCACCAGACAAGGTCCTGCCACAAACACTTATCCTGACTCTGGCCACGAGCAAACAGCAGCCAAACCCAAATTCTACCAAATAACTGATCTGGAACCTTCCCAGGCACCACAGCCGTGGAAGGGAGCACTGAGCTACCGGCCCAGACTGAAAATGGCCTGACAACCTCACACCTCAGGACATTGCAGGGGGTCCCCCAATACAGGGACACTTTGGGGACAGTTGGCAAGGCTGGTGTGGGGTCTCCGGAGTGGAAACGATCAACTAGTAAACTCTCAACCCTAACTGTGACTTGGTGGTTTAACTGTGAAATGAAATGTTCTTGTTTGTAGAAAATAAATATTAGAAGATTGGGGGACGATGGGGCCCTAGGTCAGTAACTTTTCAATGGTTCGGGGGCGGGGGGGACTCCGGCATAAGTCTTATTAGGTCTGCAATTTCTTCAGAACTTAAAATCATTCTTAATATAAAGACATAAAATGAGCATTAAGAAGAGAGTTCCCGAAGTGAGAGCACCCGGGCGCAGCTCTCAGGTAAGTCTGGACGTAGCCTGTGCTCATCTGATGTCACCTGGTGACTCGCCAGCTCCCTGCAGCTGCTGGCTTTGCCTTCTGTTTCTGCTGACCTCTGCCGTTTCCCTGGATGTTCAGAAGGAACCTCCTCCAGGAAGTCCTCCTGGATGGGTCATGTGTGTCACCGACTCTGGTCACCCCCATCTTCCAGGTTCTGGCCTGTGGCTTGGTTTTCATTCACGATTGCTTGTAGCACCGGAAGCAAAGGAGAAGGTTGGGTTAATGACACTGTGTCCCCTTCCCCTAATCTCCCAGTGTCCTCTGATCTGGGTGTGCACCACCTTCTTCAGAGCAGTGCCTCCTCTGAAGCCACCGCCCAGGGGAAGTCCACTCCATAGTCACAGTGATTCTAGCTGGCCATGTCCACTGCCCTGCCTCTTAATCTGGCTTGGTAAAGCGGCTCGGCTTCCCCTGCATGCCCAGGGAACAGGGTGTCCACAGTGTCAGCTGAGACCAAAGTCTTTGCCACGAGAGCTGTGGACTCCAGGCAGAGCGGGTGGGGCTCGTGCGGAGGGTTCCCTGCTGGCCGAGCCGGGCACTCCCTCCCTCAGCCCTTTGAGCTGGTCAGCGCCTTGGGGTGCTACAGCTGCGCATCCTCTCATGGATGGACAAACAGAGGCGCAGAGAGGGCCGAACCCTCCCGAGCCTGCTCTGGTCGAGCTGCCCGGCCCCGAGCCAGAGCCTCACCCCCATGGGTTCATTCTCCAGTAACCGCGAGCTCCATGTCATTCTCCATTATGGGGGCAGGGGGTTGAAGCTTCTAGAATTTGGGGAGGGGGCTCTTAAAGAACCCAAAGAGACTTTCTTTGAGTGAGCCCATTGTCAGGGCCCCACCCAGGGTCAATCTCCCTACAGAGGGGTGCAGCAACTGGACCTGGGTCCCTCAGCTCAGAGGACGGTTGGACCCACTGCTGGGTGAGCCTTCCTCTCCCAAGCTCCTCTCCCGTCAGTCAGAGCCACTTCCTGCACCTTGAAACACTCTGAAGGGGAACCCGGCAGGGCTGAGGGCTTGGCCTGGCTTTGGGGTGGGACAGGGTTAGAAAGCCCAGGTGGGGCCGGGCTCCAGAATGGCCCAGGGGTGGGGGTTGTCAGGAAGGCAGGTTCCTGGGCACCCAGACACAGATCCTATAGGTCTGGGGCAGGGTCTCCAGGTGAGGCAGATGCTGTCACCCCTTTGGGACCTTTGGCTTTGGGGACACCTGTCTTGCCCCAGGCTCTGTGTCTGGCTCTCTTCCAGGCCGGGCCTGCAGAGCATCTGAGCTGTGTTAACAGGCTGCGCTCGCCATGCAATTAGCAGCCCCGAGAACAATGCCCTGGTTTTGATCATGACCTCGGAGCAGCCTGGCCCTGGCTGCCCGCTTCACTACCCTGCCAGCTCGGGCGTGGGAGCCGGCGGAGCGCCTGCCCCTCCTCTGGCTTCCCAGACACCTGCCAGCTGGCGGGGCGGGAGCAGGGGAGACGCCTAGGGTTGTCTAGTGCAATCCGGGAAGACTTGCTGGGGGAGGTGGCTGCTGGAGAGACCCATCAAGGGACTGGGACCTGGCCAGGTGCTGGGGTAGACTGGCATTCAGGACAGACACCGCCCCTGCCCTCGTGGGACTTGGAACCTGGTAGAGACCAATAGGGAGAGAAGTCGCTGCAGCCAGAGTGATGACGGCCATGAGGGACCCCAACTCTTGTCATGCCTCCCATCCCCCTGCTGGGTGATGTCACCATTTACCCTAAAGGGAACTTAGAGGGTCTCAGGTACAGCCGCCCAGCGGGAGGCTGGAGGCCCGAACTCACCAATCGGAGTTCACCATCCCCCGGCCACAGCGATTGGCTCAGGGTGGGCATGTGACCGAGGCAGGACCAATCAGAGGAGAGTGGGAACTGGGTGGGAGCGCTGGGATGGAGACGCCCCTCTTTCCTGCCTGGAGGTAATGGGGTCACTCGTCGCCCAGGAGCCACTGTGGGGTCGGGACAGGTAGCCTTGAGGGGGCCAGCTCTGCCCAGCCCGCCTGGAGGTTGGAGGAAGTGTGGCCTCCTGGTGGCTTTTGGAACAGTTGAGTCCCACCTTGCCTGTTTGAATCCGATTTCGGTTCCCTGTGACAGTGACAATGCCCCCCCTGTGGACGCATCTCTGCCGCCAGGACAGGGGCCACCTCCAGGCTCCTGGTCCCTTGACCTCTGAGTCCCTCCTCCAGGTGTTTCGTCCCTGCTCTTCTGCGGTGGCACCCAAATGAGGTGCGCGCTCCTGGCTCCTGGCCTGCCCTGGGAAAGCCTTTCTCACGGGGCCACCTCTCGCATCTCACCCACCATCGCCAAAGCCACCAGCCCGAGCCTTGAGTCACCTTCAGAGGCCTCCGCCCTGAGCTATGAGGGACACACCTTCTCAAATTCCCCTCTCCGCCTCTGGCTGGGGGCGGCACAAAGAAAGCACAGGGGGGGCTGTCTCCTGGTCAGTCGTGACCCGTGTGCCCCAGGTGTTTGGAGGTCACACAGGGGCTCTTCCCACATGCTCTCCTGCCTCTGTTGAGGGCAGCAGCAACAGCAGATGCCCGCTGTGGGCCAGAGGCTGTGCCCTTTCAGGGAAGTCCTGCTCTTGATCCTCAAGGCCACCTCAAGTTAGCAGTGTGACTCTGGAGCTCAGCACAAGGACTTTGGAGCCAGAGTCCTGGGTGTGAATCCCATCTCTGCCACATACTGGCTGTGTGATGTTGGGCAAGGTACTTAACCTCTCAGTGCTTCTCAGCTCTGCTGCCCATGTATTGAGACACTGAATGATAGGCTCTTGAAGGAAGAGCTAAGATCCATAAAAACCTTAGAACAACACGTGCGAGCATAGAGTAGGCATCATAGCGTGTGATTACCATTCCCAGTTTCCAGATGGGAAAATGGACACCCAGAGAGGACGAATAAGAGGCCCAGAGCGCAAAGCTCAGTAAGCCAGGTGCGTTGGATTCCAGAATCAATGACGCATTTTATTGCCACTTGAAGGAACTCCCACATGTGCCACCTGAATGGCTTTCTGTATGTAACTGGACCAGCCAGGGCCCGGGTTCAACGGGAGCCTGACCCTCTAGGGAGGCCTGGGACTGTCTACAGCAATGAGGCGGCCACTGACCTCGCAGGACTGCTCCCGTGGACGCGCAACCAGCCCAAATGGTGAGCTGTGAGTGTAAGATACGCCAGAGAGAGAGTGGGAGAGAGAGAGAGAGAGGGAGAGAAGGTGAGGTCTCCAAGACTCTTACATCCACGACGTGCTGAATTGATAACGTTTTGGTTGTGGGTTAAACCACATATTATTTAAGTAAATCATGCCTGTTTATTCTTACTTTTTACGTGGCTCTAGGACACGTGTGGCTGCGTCCTATTCTAGGGGACAGGCTGATCTAGGCCACTATTCATCTAACGCAGGAGGAAAACGAGGCCGGGGAGCATCTGGCTTTAAGGGGTTTCGCTGGCCCAGCTGCCTCCCGAGTCCCGCTCCCGCGCCCCCTGGGAGCGCCATCCCTGCGGCTGGCAAGAGGGGGCTGGGCTGCAGAAGTGGCTGCAGGCCCCGGTGGCCGGGTGGCCCTGCTCTGTCCCTTGCTGTTGCCCGCTCCCCCTTGCTTCCAACTTCCCACAGCCTCCGTCCAGATCGCGCCTCGGGGAATCTCCTGAGCTTCCTGAGAGGCCCCGGGACCAACTCAGCAGTCAGCTTGAGGGAGACGTCTGCCAAACTGTTCTGGAGGGAAAGGCCCCTTCTGCTGTCTATGGCTCCATCATCCCCGTGGCTTCACTCATCCCAGCCTCCAAGGCTCTCATGGAAGTCCTCCTGAGGTCTGACCCACATCTGTCATGCTGCCACACAGTCCTTCTTCCCCTTCCCTGGCTCCTAAGGGTTTTCTCTAGAACCATCTGGCTGTGGAGGTTACGTCCAAACAAGGAACCTTCTGGAAGGAATGAGCTCTTGGCAGAGGGAGCCGCTGCTCCCTGCCTGGTGGTGGCTGCTAGACCTTCTCTCTTACCACGCATCGTGGGCAGTGATGAACAGGGTGATGGAGTCGGGGTTCCCTGAGCCTTCACCTCTGGGTGCCATTCCTCCCCCAGTGAGAAAGGGAGCCACTTTCTTGAGCATCAGTGGGACAGTGTCCACGGGCACCGTGCTCCCAGCTCCAGAAGGAAAAGCGTTTCCCAGGGTAGACTAGCTGTCTCACCTGCGCCTGGCCGAGACCAGAGCTTTAGGGAACACGCTTCTCCATTATGCGCAATTTTCTACCCTTTTCTGCCCCGTTCGATGTCATTTTTTAAAATGCGGCTGCGGCCCACTAACTGGACTTCACACCCCTGGGGACCTGCGGCTTGGAGCACTGGTCCAGGGCAGGAGCTGGTGCAGGGGGCAGGCTTCCGGGGCTCGTTCTGAGAGCACACGGTCCTGGGCTCCCAGGGGTGTGTCAGAGGACAGGTGGGCCCCTGGTGCGCAGGAAAGGGCAGCCGCCATTGGGAGGCTGGGGTGGCACTGTCACCTCTGGCCTGGGATTGTCACCTCTAGGGAATGGCAGGGTGATGTTCTCCACCCACCAGGACCTCAGTGTCACCACAGATAGGCCGGGAGGGTGAGCGCCGCTCTGCCCACGTGGCTCCACGTGTAAGAGCCTCTTGTCGGAGGGGTGACTTAGCCCCAGGTACTGGGGACAAATGTATTCCTTGGACTTGCTCTGTCGCTCTGTCGAGAGAGAAGGGAACTCGAGGGAG